GTAATGAAACATTTGCAAGAAAAGAACCAAGCTCAGAGAACCCCAAGGACTCCACAGAACTCTACCTCTTTGTAATTTAAACTCATTGTTTCCTATCCTGGCTTCTGGAACAATGGTGAACAATTCTGCCTCACCTTCTTCATGACGGTCCATCAGATGCTTGAAAACAGTTATCATGTCTCCTCGTAGACTTCTGTTTTCCAGGCTAAACATACCCAGTACCTTCAATTACTTCTCATAAAACTTTTGTTCAGGCCTTGGTTGTTCTCTGGACACACTCCAGCATCACAATGTTTTTCCTAAATGATGGTGCCCAGAATTGTCACAATATTTGAGGTGTGGTCCCACCTACATAGAGCGGACCCAAAGAAATCAGTGGAACTTCTCATATAACTCAGCATGGTTATATATAAATATACATGCACTTGACAGTTTTCCCAGCCATTCTGGACAATTTACGGCATAGGAGAATTAGTTTTTTATGGCATAGGAGAATTAGTTGCCAGCATGTATTATTTGGGAAACAACCATGCTTATTTTTCTGTAACGTCCTCTTACTATTGACTGTGTGAGAGTACATTATGGTATTAACCTTTGTGGACTACAGTCCAATTCCTCCTCTGGAATCAATACATTCTTTTAAAAATGAATATTTATGTTTATCTCTTTTCAGTAACAAAATTAGCCGAGATGGTGTCAAGTTTTTAGGACAGCTATTAAAACAAAACAGAACACTCGAGATTCTGGATCTTAATTTTAACAGGATAGAAGATGATGGTGCTCTGTACCTGAGTGAAGCACTTGCTACGCATAATCGGACCCTTCAAGCGTTAGTATAGAAAAACTTTTATTCCTAGAATATTGAGCAGACATCTGGATGCGATAACACAGAAAATTGAAAACTGCAGGCATGCATGAAACAAAAATTGTTCTGAGGAACGATTTGAAAAAATTGTTCAGGCTGTTACTTGAAACACAACAGCCATACTTGGAATGGTCTGTTGAAATGTTTTAAATGGAACATCAAAAAAAAATGTTTAAGCATATTTAACTATTGCTTTCATTGTTTATTATGGATTTTTTTAAAAAAATGTTCTAAAGTCATGCCTATGACCAATTTTATGAAGGTTGGGTTTAGGTGAGTATTTTGCATGGCATAGTATCCACCTACTTTTTGATCCTAGGATGAGAAAGTAAGCAGGTTGTTTCAAGTTTCTGTTTTTCTCAGTGGCAGGATGCATGAACATAGAAAAAAATACTCTCTTTTGTCTTGAGCTTGAGACAGAACTCCAAGATGTTTGTTCTGCACCCAGAGTTGTACCATACTTGAATGTTTTAAAGTGGGAATATTTTGTACACCTTATAGAAAAGGAATTTAGCATATATGGTAGATCAGAATGTTACAGTGGTAAGTCCCGCAGTAGCCGAAGAAGAGATTTTCTGAGCTGGAAAGGTCATGTACAATTAAAGAGTTTGGCCCTAGTAATTTCTGTGATGCTACAAGGGATCCTGGCCTACAGATGATTGATTGCTTCAGAAACTCTCCTAAAGATGCTACCATTCCATGTATTTACTTGGCTAGTTTTGGAATCAGTCATATTCCATTGGTCTACTATTGGACTATGAAAAGGGAGTCCATAAGAGCATCACATGAGATGTTTGGGAACTTAACTTCAAACAAAACTGAACCCATCTGAGGCTGTGTGACCACTGCTGGTAGAACAGCTTAACCACATGTGTCCTGGTGCCAAAATCTTCCTGAGCTTACTTCACTTGCCTGTAGCCACTCCTCTGTGTGCTGCTACCTGGGTCTATGATGCAGCTTTTCATATGTCCATCTAGGCTGGCTAGGTTTGCACATCATGCTAAGCCATGATTTGTTTAGCCATGGTTTGCTGGTCTGGTTTGTTCATAACACTAAGCTACAAGAGCATAGGTAAGAAGCCCTAAGCAAAATGGAGAGTGACATTTTCCAGGTAGTTCCTAATCATCAATCTTTGGTAGCAAAGGAGAAATTAGCACCAGGAGGTGGGCCGGGGCACATACTGTAAATACTGTGTCATCCGGTCATGATGTAAAAGTGGGTAGAGAGCAAGATTGGCTTTGTGGCTCTCGGTAAAGGTAGCAGATGTGGTTAAAGAAGTGTAGGGTTGCAACTAGTATACAAATATTTTCCCATGCAGTTTGAAAAAGGCTAGTGGTGGCCAATTTTGCTCCAAGACCTTGCTTTCTGCTTTATATCCTTTCTCTTAGGCTAGCAGTGACGCGCAACAATATAACTGGAGTAGGATTGGTGGCACTTTCAGATGCCATGAAAACAAACCCTGTCCTTTCATACATCTACATCTGGGGAAACAAATTTGATGAAGCTACTTGCGTGGTAGGTCTTTCTGCTCAGAGATATCTTCAGATGTAGTGGACTAGTTGTTCCTTGTCGTCATCATCATCGTCATCGTCGTCGTCGTCGTAAAACAATTCCATCTGCCAGCACCTTGCAGAGAAAGGATGGTGTTGTCTGTAACCATTCATCTTAGAGGCAAATATCTTGTCCTCCTCTCTGGTGGCAGCTGACATTTGGGCAAAAGGCTGGGTGGGTTCACACACTGCACAAAGCCAGGATGTGCTTCTTTAGGTTTGGTGAAGATGCTGTCTGAACCCAGCCATTGAGGCTTTCTTGGTGTGCATTTTATTGCCAGAAGCTCCATGGGAAGGACCGTTCAGAACTTTTAAATGACATTTGCTGGCTTAGATAACTTCCCATTTTTTCGTATAATTAAATACACTCACTTATTACCATTTAAGTCAGTTTATTTAATAATATGAAAAAATGGGGAATTAAACATCTAAGCCAGCAAATGTCATCTAAATAACTGAATGGTGAAACATGAATCGGTTCTCTTAGTATAAATATGGTGGGCTTTATTTTCTTTTTCTCCTCTTGTTGCATATAATAAAAACAAATATTTTCTAATAACAAGGTTATAATAAACGATTGCTTAATGGGTGTATCTCACCACTCTATCCCTGTTTATATAATCCTGCCCAGTGTGGGTAGAACTACATCTTCTGTTTTGAAATAGCCACCGCATGATGTTTCTCCCCCTTCTGAACTTTAAATTGTGAAGCCTTTTATAAAAGTTAAAGGTTCCTTTGATTGTTGAATTCTATTCTGTCCTACAAATGGAGGGAAATACTTTGTCATTTCTTTCTTCTAGTATGATTGTCAACTTCCTATTCCAGTTTGCAACCCCTGGATTCTCCTGGTGGTCTTTCAGTCAAGTACTAACCAGATCCAACTATGCTTGTTGATTTATTTGTGATCAGCCAAGGTCACCTTATATGAAAGCTTGTTTTGACAATTTCTTGAACTCTCACACTGAAATGTAGCCCAGCACATAAGAATTAGACATATTTTCTCTGTTATACTGACATCCATCTTCCTTTCATGCCCGTCCTCTCTTCTCTTCCTCCTTTGTCTCTAGTCTGTCAAAATATGGATTGTATACTACCCACAACAGGGACTACTATCCTTTTCTTTGTAAACTTTTATTCCATTATTCCATCTATTTCCAGCCTGTGACATTATTAGTCAAATAGTTAATTTTTTTTTTTTTTTAAAGGAAAGGTGCAGCTAGAATGGGGTGGTGGTGGTGCATATCTAGCTTCAGTGCAGAGAAGAGCATCTTTTCATCATGCACCATTTTCCCACTGATTCTCTCCACCTTCTACAATGTCTGCTTGTCCTGGGGTGGAAAAGCACCTAGGATAGGTTGATGGGCTTGGTTTGAGATAACAAGGCAGGCAAATAGTGGACGTTCAGTTCCCCACCACCGTCAGCCCTTCAAGGGAGATCAGAGTAAGAAACAAAGTCATGCAGGCCAGTACTATTTTTAAGATTATAGTAACAGAATTTTGTACCTCTGAATGTGCTTCTCCCCTCCCTCCCTTTATCTTTGTGAGAATGAGCGAGGGTCAAGTCTGAGACATTTTCTCAGGTTACAGTTCTGCCCTGAACTCATGTTTCTTTTATCTGACCATTGCCTTGGTAGCAGTTCCTCCTATCTCTCAAAGTCATTCTTTCTTCTATGAGACTAGGCTGAAGCTGCCATAACCTAAAGATGAAGCAGGCACATAAGTAGAGAAGACAAAAGCCAGGAAACTTATCTATGAGATCCCTTCA